TATTACATTCCTGCATCTGTGTTTTATCGTATTTATTATATAGTATTGTATTTTAACTTGTTGTACGCCGCCTTGAGCCTGCCTGTGCAGGGAAGGCAGGTTATAAATCGAAAATAATAAATAAATAAATAAATAATAAAAGCTGGTTTATAAGGAAAGTCTCTCTTTTCTTGGTGGTCCCAAGAAACTCTATTAAGTATTAATTAATCAGCAGTGTTCCCTCTAAGCTGAGTGTGAGATAGCTCAGTTTTTTAGCCTCCAGCTCACACATTTTTGTCTTAGCTCAGGAAGGATGGCTCCAGAGCAAACTAATTTATGCAGGAGCCAAATTGCTCGCTCACAACTTTAATGCCGGTAGCTCACAAAGTAGAATTTTTGCTCACAAGACTCCACAGCTTAGAAGGAGCGTTGCTCATCAGCCCAATCTGCTGCCTGTTTGACATTCTCTGGAAGCTTATTTTTTACCAGAAGCCTGATCTCTGAGGGAAGTTGAAGTAAAAATTGATCCAAAATCAATTATTCCCTCTTAGCTTTGACACAATATCCACTTATTCTTTGCACTTCTAAATCAGAGCCTCCATCATTCCTAGAAACTCTGCCATTTTTCTCTTTTTTGTATTTCTTTCTACAATTTTACTAAACCTCACAAGATTATGTTTTCTGTAATAATGCTACTAGTTTATTTAGGTCTTTGACCTTTATAACAGTTCTATTCCCCTCATAGAATTCAATTGAACATTAAATCTCCTCAGCAATTTTTCTGTCAGACTTTTCTTTGCTCCCAGGATTTTCTATCCTTTGGCACAGTTCCTTCACCTCAGACTGTTTTATATCCTTTGAGTCTTTTCCTTTCCTCAGAATATTTTATATCCCACCGCTAAGCCAACGCCTGTCACGGTGCCTCTCTTTTATTTTGTATGGTTAGGTAACAACATAAGAGACGCCCATGTTGGATCAAGTGTGATGTAGTTTTAAATTTCCTGTTTCTTTCTCTCACTCAAACTTTATCTTATGTCTGAAATCATTGTTGGTACCAGTGTTCCCTCTAAGCTGAGTTAATGTGAGCTAGCTCACAGTTTTTTAGCTTCCAGCTCACACATTTTTGTCTCAGCTCAGGAAGGATGGGGCTCCAGAGCAAACTAATGTATGCAGGAGCCAAATGGCTCGCTCACAACTTTAATGCCAGTAGCTCACAAAGTAGAATTTTTGCTCACAAGACCCCACAGCTTAGAGGGAACATTGGTTGGAACCCACTTTTATTCATTGTATTTTTCCTTATTTTATGCCATTACAGGTTTCTGAACTGGATAAGACTCTAGGTTAACAATAAATAAGATAAAACTTTATTGGTAAAAGAAGCGTATTGGCGACAAGACAAGTTTTGCTAAGTTGCTCAGTGAAATCTTTCCCTTTTTACTCAGGTCTCTGTCAGCATTTCCCTCACACTCTTCAAATGCTCTGACTGAGATTTTGCCTAATATGTCCCCCTGAAGTACTTTACTTTCTCCTTTACAAGCTTAATGTCTTCCACAGCGCCTCTATATGATTCTGATTATGCCATTACAGGTTTCTGAACTGAACTGGATAAGACTCTAGGTTAACAATAAACAAGATAAAACTTTATTGGTAAAAGAAGTGTATTGGTGACAACTGACAAGATGTTTTGTTAAGTTGCTCAGTGAAATCTTTCCCTTTTTACTCAGGTCTCTGTCAGCATTTCCCTCACACTCTTCAAATGCTCCGACTAAGTGAGATTTTGCCTAATATGTCCCCCTGAAGTACTTTTCTTTCTCCTTTACAAGCTTAATGTCTTCCACAGCGCCTCTATATGATTCTGATTATGCCATTACAGGTTTCTGAACTGAACTGGATAAGACTCTAGGTTAACAATAAACAAGATAAAACTTTATTGGTAAAAGAAGTGTATTGGTGACAACTGACAAGATGTTTTGTTAAGTTGCTCAGTGAAATCTTTCCCTTTTTACTCAGGTCTCTGTCAGCATTTCCCTCACACTCTTCAAATGCTCCGGCCATGTGAGATTTTGCCTAATATGAAGTTCTTTTCTTTCTCCTTTACAAGCTTAATGTCTTCCACAGCGCCTCTATATGATTCTGATTAGAAGACTGTTTCTCAGACTCTGTGGAGATTGACCACAGGCGACGGCTGCTGAGGACTAACTGCTGACTTCAACTTCCAACTGACTCCTGATTTCAAACCTCTCTCTCCGCCCACCCACACCCCTCCTAGCTCCGCCCACACACTCTCGGGCACCAGCCAATCACCTCACTCCCTCTTCTCCCTCTCTCACCCCCTTGTTCTGCTGACAGTGACCCGCCATTTAAAGGAACACACACACACACCACTTGAAATCATGACACAGGACTCTCTGACTCGCATGAGAGATTGGGGGGGATGCTTCTTCCTCGATAAACATCGCCTAATCAATTGTCGTTCTCTGCCCTGCAGGCCACGCAATGTGACTGTTGCGGAGGGGCACCCAAATGTAATTTCGTCTGAATATTTAAGAACATAAGAACATCCAATGTTGGATCAGGCCAAAGGCCCCTCCAGTCCAAACACTCTGTGTCACACAGTGGCCAAAAACACCAGATGCCCTCAGGAGGTCCACCAGTGGGGCCAGGACACTAGAAGCCCTCCCAGCCCCAGTTCTACCCCCCCCCCCAAAGCACCAAGAATACAGAGCATCCCTTGCCCCAGACATAAGAGAGGCCAATGTTGGATCAGGCCAATGGCCCCTCTAGTCCAGCACTCTGTGTCACACAGTGGCCAAAAATACCAGGTGCCCTCAGGAGGTCCACCAGTGGGGCCAGGACATTAGAAGCCCTCCCACTGTTGACCACCCCCCCAAGCACCAAGAAGACAGAGCATCCCTTGCCCCAGACCGAGAGCCCCTATCTATACCTTGTGGCTAATAGCCACAGATGGACTTCTTGCTCCATATGCTTATCTAATTCCCTTTTGAAGCCGTCCATGCTTGTAGCTGCCACCACTTCCTGTGGCAGTGACATTTCCCCACTGACATTGCCGTACCTGCAGATAAAATGGAGTGGGGGTGGTAGATGTTGTAAGCCGCTTTGGGTCTCCCTTGAAGAAGAAAGTGGGGTATAAATGAAGGAAATAATCCTTGGCCTCTGCCTGTTTCCCAAAGTAGAAATCTATGTCATGACTGGGGGGGGGGTGTCGGTTGGACCAACCAAATTGATGCAAACCATTGTATAAGCTTTTGGGCTCACCAGAGCTCTTAACCAAGCTGGATTCAATTAAAGAAAATAGAGGTGTGAGGAGCTAACGGATTATACTGCTGGGGGAGATATAGTTTGGCTTTCCTAGAGCCGGGGGCGGGGGTCCAGAGCTGATCTGTTCCTGTGACCTGGTCTGCTTCTATCCTTTCAGTAACGGAATACAAAAAAATGTGTTTTCCTCCCTGATTTATAGAGATGTAGAGTTGCCAACTCTGAGTTGGGAAATTCCTGGAGATTTGGGGGCAGAACATGGGATGGGCTTGGTTTGTGGAGGGGAGGAACATGTTCCCTCGAAGCTGAGCTCACACTTTTCTAGCCTCCGGCTCACACATTTTTATCTTAGCTCAGGAAGAAATGGCTCCAGGACAAACTAATTTATGCAGTGGTGGCCAAATGGCTCAGGCACAACTTTAATGCCAGTAGCTCACGGACTAGAATTTTTTGCTCACAAGAGTCCACAGCTTAGAGGGAGCATTGCTTCCAAAGAACCAGGGGGACTGATCTCTGTAGTCTGGTTGTAATTCCGGGGGATCTCCAGGACCTGCCTGGAGGTTGGCAGCAGGGCTACTCTGTGTGAAGTCTGTCGTTTGGCCGGCCCACAGGTGCCAGTTCTGGATGCTGCCCCCTGGCAAATTCACTTGTAGGTTCTGAAACTCTGCACTCGAAACTGGCACGTGAGAAATAACGAACCGTTCCCTCTGAGCGTCAGCTGCCCGGCCTATGACATCTAAATGCTGCGCCTGCAGTTGAAGACGGAAGTTTGGAATAACTGGAGAATTTCCACCACGTGCCGGGGGTGGGGGGGAGGCCTGCGTTACAATCCTGTCCCACTAGGGGGCTCGCTGTAGCTTTATGAGGATTTCCAGGAGCTGCTTGTGTCATCCGCGCCGCTGGTGTAGTGGTATCATGCAAGATTCCCATTCTTGCGACCCGGGTTCGATTCCCGGGCGGCGCATGGGTTTTTTTTTTGTTTTGTTTCCCCCCTCCCCTAACTTGCTTGACAAAAGTAATGATATTTGCACAGCATTTCACCAGTCCTGCAGCAGGCTCCCTTTTGCACGGAAACGGAACGGCTCGTTCTCACGTCTGCCGCTTTCCCTTAAGGCATAGCAGGATTTTTACCTCTTCACGAAAGCCGAATTCTGTTAAGCACGCCAGGGGGGGACTTGCTCTTGGAGCCCACGTGCCAGGGGGGTGCGGGAAGAAAGCAGCCTGGCCCTGCGGACCTTTTTTAAAAAAAATAAAAATTATGTAAAGGATTTATTCGTTTCTTTATTGCAACACGATCACTTCTGCTAAACGTTTCGTTCTGTTAAAAGTTTATATTGACAACGATTATCATTGCAATGTGTTCTGTGCGTCTGGAAAGGGGAACCCTTGTCAGATACTGCAAACACCCCCCCACCCCCCCGAAAGGCCCTTTTGCAAAGGGCGAAGGTCCTCTCGCGCTTAATGGGAGCTACTCCGAAGCGACGCTCCCTCTAAGCCGTGGAGTCTTGTGTGCAAAAAATTCCACTTTGTGAGCTCCTGGCGTTAAAGGTGTGAGCAGGTGATTGGGCTGCTGCATCAATCAGTTTGCTCTGGAGCCCTCCTTCCTGAGCTAAGACAAAAATGTGTGAGCCGGAGGCTAAAAACCGTGAGCCGGCTCACACTAACTCAGCTTAGAGGGAGCACTGCCGAAGCAAACACGCGCGACGCATTCTGGGGAGTGTAGTCTTTTCTTCGCTTCCTTCCGACGGGGGATCCTGCAGCAGCGGCGGAGCCATTCCCGCGTTCCCTCTGGCTTGCAGCGGAGAGGAGCGGGTGGGAAGGGAAGCCCTGGTCGGTCTGCAATGCCCAGAAGCGGAAAGTGAGGTTTGCACGGGGGACTTCTTCTCTGCCTGGTCTATTTGCAACCCGTCGAGGCGGGTCGGGGAGAGCCTCCGTCCGGCGCCCTCGTTGGCACGCTCTGCCGCGGGGGGAGGAGGAGGAGGAGGACGAGGCGCAGGATGATCGTGGCCGCGGCGGCGGACCGGAACAAGGAGCCCATCCTGCGGGTGCTGAGGCAGTACGTGAGCCCCAGCCGGCCGCAGGTGGACGCCCTGGAGGTGGCGTCGGGCTCCGGGCAGCACGTGGTCCACTTCGCCCAGGCCTTGCCCAACGTCCGCTGGCAGCCCTCGGAGGTGGACGCCCAGTGCATGCAGAGGTACCAGAGCGCGGGGGGGGGGGGGTGCGTGTTTTGGCCTGGGCGCCCGCTCGGGTTGCCACCCTCCAGGTGGTGGCTGGAGGTCTCCCACTGTTAGGACTGATCGCCACTCCAGGCTGGGGTCATTGCGTAGAAGAAGAGGTGCAGGAGCTCGTTTGCATAACTTATTTGCATAGGCCACACCCCCTGACATCACCGGTAGCGTGTCAGAAGGCAACGCCCACCACTCAGGCTCCACTGGACTCTTTTGGATTGCTAGCTATGGGGGGGGGGGGGCGTAGGTGGGAGGGGGACATGCAGATCTGTCCTGGCAGAGGAGGGAGAGCTGGTACCTGAATAAGACTTGGCCTTAAAGGTGCCACTGGACTGCTTTGGATTGCTTGCTATTGGGGGGGGGGATGCACAGATCTGCACTCACAGAGGAGGGAGAGCTTGCACCTAAATAAAACTTGGTCTTAAAGGTGCCACTGGACTGTTTTGGATTGCTAGCTATTGGGGGGGGGGACGTGCAGATCTGTCCTGGCAGAGGAGGGAGAGCTGGTACCTGAATAAAACTTGGCCTTAAAGGTTACACTGGACTGTTTTGGATTGCTAGCTATTGGGAGGGAGGGGGACGTGCAGATCTGTCCTCACAGAGGAGGGAGAGCTTGTACCTCAATAAAACATGGTCTTAAAGGTGCCACTGGACTGTTTTGGACCGAGGGGGGGGGGCTCTGCAACTTACCTGGCTGCAACTTACCTGGCTCTGCAACTTACTTCTGGTCCTTCTTCAGGAACAAAAACCCACAATAGAAAGTCTCATTCCAATGCATTTTTGGTCCTGTTCTACATAGTAGCAACCTTGAGAGGTGCACTTTCAAGCTTAGGAGACCTGGCCCATAAAGAAACTGAACAATATTGCCTTGTAAAGAAATTGGAATGAGGCTTTCTATTGTGGCTCTTTGTTCCTGAGGAAGGACCAGAAGTCTGAAACACTGACTACTACCGAGGAAAAGTGTTGGATATCTAATTTGGACTTGATGCATCCTGTAGACTTCTATATTTCCTATGATGGATTTTATGTACAGATTTATTGCTGATGTGTTTCACTTTGCTGAAGTCTCTTTTCGTACATTTACTCTTGCGGCCAGTGTTCCCTCTAAGCTGCGGAGTCTTGTGAGCAAAAATCCTGCTTTGTGAGCTCCTGGCATTAAAGTTGTGAGTGAGCAATTTGGCTACTGCAGAAATTAGTGTGCTCCTTCCTGAGCTAAGACAAAATTGGGTGAGCCGGAGGCTAAAAAAACTGTAAGCTAGCTCACACTAACTCAGCCTAGAGGGGACAGTGAGTCGGGGACCACATTATCTGCTGCCGAGGCACATTGTTGTCTAATGCAGATGTTTTTAATGACGTAAGGATGACGTTTTTTTGAATTGTAATATGTTTCTAATATTGTAAATCTGCGTTAACAGCAGATACATCTATGTCGCTACCTGCCCTGGGCCTACAGTGTGGGGAGGGTGGTCTGATGAAATCAATAAAATAAATACACGTGCCCCTGTTTGTGCTCAGTTTACCAGATACCATTTTATCCTGGTTGGGTGTGACCCAGCGTGCTTGCCTCCTGGAAGGAGAGGTGCGGCAGCTTTCCCCAAAGGGATGTTTTGGCACTTGTGCCTCCTCCACGCTGGTCCTCACCGCTCACCGGGTTCTCTCTCCTCTCTCTCGTCCTGCAGCATCGCAGCGTTCACCCGGGCCCTCTCCCTCCCCAATGTCAAACCGCCCGTCTTCCTCGACGCGTCCGGGAGCTGGGAGACATGGGGGCTGAGGCCCGGCTCTCTGGACCTCGTGGTCAACATCAACATGATCCATATCTCAGACGTCTGCTGCACTGAGGTGAGATGGGGCCCTCCCCTCCCCTCCCACCGGTCCCATGGAGGGATTTGGAGACCTGGCACACAGGGGGCCCCGCTGGACGTGCGACACAGGGAGGAGGGGGGGAAAAGCTTGACCCAGTACCTGGACGCAAGAACCTGAATAACGGGCCATCATTAAAAACCTAGTGCAAATTGATTATATACGAAAATACACATATTTGTTGAGGACTCTCCAGCTCTGACTAAGATAGTCACATCCAAGGTTCCCTCTAAGCTGTGGAGTCTTGTGAGCAAAAATTCTACTTTGTGAGCGATGTGAGCGACTGGCATTAAAGTTGTGAGCCAGCAGTTTGGCCGCAGCATCAATTAGTTGTACTCTGGAGCCCCGTCCTTCCTGAGCTGAGACAAAAATGCGTGAGCCGGAGGCTAAAAAGCTGCGAGCTAGCTCACACTGACTCAGCTTAGAGGGAACATTGGTGACATCGGGATGATCTGGACCAGAATTGGATGATGTTCTAATTCAGGGGTGGCCAAACTGTGGCTCTTTCACACATATCGTGTGGCTCCCGGCGTTCTCAAAGCCCCCCCCCCCCCAATTTTATTAAAAAAA